GTTAGCCAAGCTCTGAGCTGTAATGCACAGTTAAGTTTTTTTTTTTGTTTTTTTTAAACGGAGCGCTCATTTTGTGGTGGTTGTAAATGCTTTTGTGTAAGTATAGGTTCAGGAATGGCTGTTTCGAAATGGCTCTTGTAATGTTTAGATGTTATCTGATGCAAATCAGCCATGTGCTCATGTAGCTTATGCTAATTAGCTATAAGGAGCTATGGTAATTAATACCATTTGCTGCATAACGTGGTTAAGTATGAAACTGTCTATTTTGGAAAGCTACAGTGTATCCCTACATCCGATGTCACAGAAGAAGGTTCCAGACATTGTTTAGCCATCTCAGGAAACACTCTGTACGTACACGCCTGTAATGATGTTAGTATACTTCATGCAGACGTTCACCCATTCATCAACCCTCCTCGCTTTCTAAATTGCGATTAAAGACATGCTTACTGTCACTGTAAAAAATGTTTGAAGTCATTTAAGTGTCATACACAGTATTAATATCACAGCTGAAATATTAATTTCTCTCTGGGCCATGCATTGTTGTGGGGGTACTAAAATTGTAAGTGCTTGCTAAGTGCAGGCATGAATTTTGCAATAGTGGTGATGGGAGTACAGCACTGATTTTATGACGCAGTTGCTGACTGGTGGCTCGGTACATGCTTGCCTAACACGAGTTGACGTAATCTGCTGTGTTACGTTGAGTAATCCCTGGTCGTTACTCAGCTTGTTGCCTCGTTGGGGATTCTTGAATAAAAGATATCTTGGCATATGTATTATAGCCATGCTGTCAGTTTGATTGAGCCACTTCAAACTTAGTAGCTGAGACACCAAACACAATCACTGATTTGCTGTCAGTGCTCTGCTGGCAGCAGGACTGTTGATAAGTCCTGTCAAGAAGTTGGTAAATTAAGATGTTTCAAATACGCCTTCATTTTTTCATTCAGAACTAAATCTGCCATTAATCCCTGGAGGATAAAGAAATGTTTAGTCTTGAATAGAGAATAGATTTGACTGTCCATTTCTCCCTCTCAGCACTCAAAAAATACTCTTGGCACTCCATTCTAAAAACAAATTAAAGTGGAGAGAGGGAGAAAGATGTTTTTCTTTTTTCTTTTTTTTTGTTGGCGATGACAGTGACGGAACCTCATTTTCCTACAGCTAGATCAAAGTCTCTCCATGTGTGTGGCATTGCAGCCTTTTCCCTTTGGCACCTAATGATACAGCCTGAACTCAAAGACCCCTTGGATGCAGACCATTTCCACTTTCTGCTCTGTACCAGGCCTGATGTCATCTAGGTTGTGCCCTCCAAGCCCACCCCCACCGTTCCATGTCCTCTGGCTTTTCTCGTCTTCCCCGCCTCCTCTGCCCACCCCCAAATCTGTTGGTGTATGTAATCAGACAGCCCTCTGTGATGCAGCAGTGGGCTCGGGCACATCCCTGCATTGACTGTCCCACTGCTTGGATAATGAAGGCAGCTGGGAGGCCGTCTTACTGCCTCCTTGTGTTGCGCTTCATCATTCCTGCCACAGCACAAGGTTTTCTAATTAAGTCACCATTTTGGCCCTGCAGATTATGTAGCAGCTGGATCATTAGCGTGGAGGGTCAAATGGCATGTGTCTCCATGTATCGGGCGGAGCACTTTTCATCAACCCTTGTCTCAGTCACCTCACCTCTGCTGGCCAACAGAAGGCTCAGCCTGCTTCCTCCTTGCATGCCCCCTTTATGCTCAGTATTTTGTGAAAACATTTTCATTGCAATGATGCATCATGCTGCAAGTTTATCAGTTACACATAAGTCTCTCTCTTTTTTTCTCTTTTCTTTTAACTTTCTTCTGCTTTTCTGATGGCAACATGCTGTATTTAATAATGCAGGAGGGGCAGACTTGTAGAAATACTTGTACAAAAACACTGATGTATAAGCATGGCTTATTGCCTGACATTTTGTCAACTTTTATTTTGTAGTTGACTTCAGTGTGTGTTTTACTCTGTCTTGGTCCCCTGAAGGTTCTTATCTATATTGAATATTAAGACATGGTCATGTTATCTTGCAACTACTTAGAAATGGGCTAAAAAGACCTATTTGTAGCATTTATGCACCTACAGGACCTTATGACAGCATTGTATCGTAATTTCACATCAGTAACAACAAGTTGAAACCAACAAAACTTTCAGTGACGTATTGTGACGTCAGCATGTTGCATAGCAACAGACTCAAATCAAAGGCCAAACAATACTGTCGCTTGGGCATGTTCTGACAGTCTAAACTAAGTGACAGACTGTAACCTGGGGTTAGTTTCTTTTAATGTAGGCAAAGTATTTCATATTAAATCTTGATTATTTGTGTTGAACAAGCTCTAAACAGTTAGTCAAATAGTGGATCAACAATAAAACAGTGAGAAATTAATTACTTAAAAAAATTTTTATAAGACAAATTGTCGGATATTATAGTTATACCTTGTCATTCATGTGTGCTTTGTGCCTTTTTCAGAACATCTGTGATAGGACAAAAGCATGACACAAGATTAAAGCTAAGTGTGCTGGCCCAGTAGTTAATCAGTTGAGGAAATGCTCCGCAGATTGATTGATTAAAATAATAGTTGCAACCCTACTTAACAGTGTGAACATCAATTAAATGGGCTATTGACTGAACTGAGATCAGTTTAAGAGTACCACATAGTATCTCAAAATGGACGCTGTACTGGCTGCACTTTCAGAGACTGCACGACACTGATGTAAAATCTGTACCGGAGGCCTGTACGGTGTATAATGTGTAGATTAATTTTAAAATCTAATTAGTTTTGTATTTCAGTGGGCTTCTACTCATAGAGGGAAAATTACTGTCAGCAGCCCTGTGAGTCACCTTCAGTTCAGTTACAGGGTGGAGATGCCTTGTATTTATTTGTATGATGAGGAAGAGTTATTCACCATTAGTCTGACTCACCTGTCAGTATAGTCAGTCAGCAAGCCTCTTCATTTATCAGTCTGCTCATGACTGCAGAGGATGGGGGAGAAGTTTCAGTTCTCCTGTGTTGTCTGTGAACAGCCATGATGTAAGTGCTAATGAAGAATAAAAACAACAGATTCAAAATATGTTTGAGTTTCATAAGGCTTGTCTGAACAGCTTGATTTTGATCCATTACCACAGATTCTCGAGGTAACAATATCAAGGAGGGAATCAAGTATCAAAACATCTTTCTAAACTTTTCATTTTCCAGCAGAAAGTGTTTCTATGTTTTCCTTCATGCTCTGTATGTTACAAACATCCAGAGTTTGGGTACACATACCGTGTGTATGGGGGGGGGCTCAAACATAAAAGTAGTTTTTGAAACATTCTGGCATAAATTCAAGGTAACCATAGCTACTTTTCTCTGTCAGATCCATCTTTCTTAGCCCTGAAAATGGGAGTTTTTGATACTCGGAGCATCCTTTATAGGAATTATATCAGTTTAATAGCAGGCAAGAAATGGAATGAATAAAATATTTTAATGCATTTTGTTCAGAAAAACTTGGATTAGAAACTTAACAGCGGCTGATGAAACCTGACCCTGATTATACTAAGGGAAGATTTAAGACCACTGCGCCAATCCATTAATGATCTCCCGCAGCTGGTTTTGGTTTTTCCTTTCTCCGAATTCTGTTTGGATGTGTGGAAATGCCTTCATCATCTGCTCTGCCTGTCTGCACTGATAGCAGATATTGAATTGGCTGCTGGGCACTAGCTAACCCCTACTGTGAGAGATCAATTGAAAGGGACAGCCATATACTGCTTCTCACAAACTGCCGGCCAATTTGGGAATTTCGTACTCTTCCTGATGCATTTCAGATGGTAAGCAGAGCAGCATATAAATTATGTTTTTTGTGTCTGTCTTGCCATGTTTTTTGACTTGCTCATTTAGTAAACGGATATAAAACAAATCTGAGATTTTAAAAGTTCGATGTCAGTAATGGAGTAGATATTTTCAATACTTGTAAAACTGCATTCAGACAAACCGAGGTTCCTTTTTTGTAGCATGTTTTAATAAAAATAATTATTAGTATAACAAGTAAAATTTATTAGTTGTATTTAGCAAAAATACTCATTATTCTCAAATGTGCTTAAAAAGTTTGAAAAATCTGGTTCAGTGGCATCACAAGGGTACACAAACACTATTTTTGAAAGATATTTGACCTGTTAAGTGTTGTCAAGACTGTGTTATTTCCAGCCTGACATGCACTCAAACTCTCACATGCTCTCTCACACTAACAAACACACTTGTGTGAGTGTGCTTAGTCAAGAGAAAAATCCCACAACTCGGTGAGGAGTCCTCATTCTCCCCTCAGCCTGATTGCATTTTCATTCTCTCTCTCTCTCTCTCTCTCTCTCTCTCTCTCTC